CCCCGCCCAACATCCAACCGGCCTCTTCCTCTCACAAACAAACACACCCCGAGACACACAGGGACTGACGTCACTCACACGGCCCTACGTCACCTCCTCCAGCTCCTCGTCGCTCTGTGGCTGCGGTAAGTTCCGCACTGAGTTTTTTGTGAATTCCCCACGCGTGGCCTCATTCACCCCCTGTGGGGCGAAAATCCGCCGCTGTTAGCCCTCCTCCTCCCTTAATATTACACTTTCATTTCTTCCTCCAACTCCCAGAATCCACGGCGGCAGTGACTCCTGTGACCGCAGAGCTTCAGCCTCCACGACCCTGAAGGTTTAACCTTACCGCGCGCACATCACGGCACGGTCACCGGCATCCGTGATGACGTTACTCAGATCAAACCGAACAAAGTAAAAACTCTAAAAAATGTACTTGTTACAAACACAGAAGCAGCTGACCTGCACATCTGTGCACATCTGCTCACATCTGCTCACAGAGCACACGTGCTCTCTGCTCATGTTGTCTTCACGCTGAATCATTTTTTAAGAACTTATTTTAACTGCACTCAACAAACAACCCTCCCAAACATCAAGGACCAGACTGCAGCGTATTTCTTCACATCAATATACGGCCGCTAGTGGCCCGCAGGCCGCGAGTTTGAGACCCTGCTCTAAGGGTGTATAATGTAAACAGAATTGGTCCCAGCACTGAACCCTGTGGAACTCCACAATCAACCTCAGCGTGTGAAGAGGACTCTCCATTTATATAGACACACACACACACACTGAGACATATACTAAGTGTATTTTTAGGAGTATTCTGTGTACTATTTTAAGTCTTTATTCTGATCATTTACAAAAGTCAACGATGCTCATAAAACCGAAACACTTGTTTAAAATGTAAACACGCTGAAAACGAACACATCATAACGTCACGGCGTTCGCTGGTTCTGATCTGCTGCTCTCAGCTCAGTTTATCCTTCACACCGGGAACTGGACACACGCGAAGCCGCGAATGTGATCCATCGTTTTCCAGGAAGGGAAGTGTTCTTTATCACCTCAGGGCCACCGTACTACACCACCCTTAAACCACTCTCTGTATCTCTATGAGTAGATGTGTAGTTAATGGTCAGTGTGAGAGCTGAACGCCGAGGACTCCATCAGCCTCACAGGACAGGCGTAGAAACCGCCTCTGTCAGTGCGCCCCAGGGCGGCTGTGGCTACACTGTAGCTGCCATCACCAGTGTGTGAATGTGTGTGTGAATGGGTGGATGATTGTGTGTAGTGTAAAGCACTTTGGGGTCCTTAGGACCAAGTAAAAGCGCTTTACAAATACAGACCATTTACAGACAGACCAAATCAATAAACTGTTTATTGCTCTTCCTGCTCTCAACGGCCCTTTGGGGGACGCTCACATGCACGAACCACGAGTCAGTGAGAGCTTTCATAACGGTCTGAATTTATCTGTCCAGCAAACTTCAATCCAGGGGATTTTCCTCTGAGGACGCTCCAGCACGCTTCACTGCTTTGTGTCCAGGTACACAAACCTCAGAAATCTCCAAAGCTCAGACAGAACAACGTGTAACAACAGTAACAACGTGTTTGAGACAGAGGATGGAGGGAGGGGCTGCACGAGCATAAGACAAAGAAGGATTATTCTGAGCAGTGAATCATGCAGAACTCATCCTCTTTAACTTTATCCAATCAAAATGTCGGCCGAGGGAATGAAAGGATCAAGAAGATGAAACGAGCGTTTATAAAGACGACTGCGCTGCATGTGAGCTGACGCTGTCACCTGGAGCAGGTGGGCGGGGTCAGACGGGTTGAGCAGGTTCTCCCACATCACGGCTCACAGGAGGCACAAACCAGGAACCGGCTGGACTGGATCAGCAGGAGGAGGAAGTGCTCAGATTTCAGCATCAAAATAAAATTTCACCTGGGAGCAGGCCACATTATTAGGTACACCTGGAGCTCAGACAGGTTCTTCTTTTTTCAGTGACTCACGCTGTCACCTGTGTCTGTGTCACACCTGCTTCCTCATTAAACTGTGGAGATGAAGTCAAAGTTATCCAGCAGCTCCCCCTGCTGGCCACAGACACACAGTACGAGCAGCAGTTCTTCAGCCTCTGTGAGCTACTCGCCCGTGACGTCACGTGGAGGAGCGTCGCACAGCTCCCTTCTTTTCCTTGTTTGCCAGACGCCTCTCTAATGGAGGCTGTTCTCTTTCTAAAGTGTTGACGTGTTTCTGTCAGATGATAGTGAACGGTCTGTCCAGCAGGACGTGCTCCACCAGGTGGCAGCACATCATCAATCCTCCAGGCGTCGCTGCTGTTCTCACAGAGCTGAGCGAGCACCTCTTCTGTCACACACACACCCTCTGCATGTCCTCCTTCACTGCGTTCATCAGCCTCTGAGCTCGTCGTCTTCTCCTCCAGCCTGGCAGCTCCATCATATCCACTCTCCCTCCCTTGAATCCTCATTTGTTCCTGTTCATTTTGTCATTCTGTCTTGTGTTATTTGTGTTGCTGGCTCCAAAGCAAACTGCCCCTCTGTGGATGATAAAGTGTTCCTCTGCACACCTCCTCTGACAGACTGTGGCGTCTAACACCTTCAGCTGGGCCTCCTCCTCCTCCATGCATCGCAGCAGGTCTCACCGCCGTCTTTAAACCTTCCCTTTACCTCTTGCTGCTCTCCTTCAGCCACCACCCATGACACCTGTCTCCACCCACTCCACCCTGCCTGCTCTCTCATCTTCACCTGTCTCGGGTACCGTCCACGGCTTTAAGGTTGACCCCAGCTATTTAAGCTCATCCACCTTCACTACCTCTCCTCCTGTCTGTGTCTCCACTGGGTTTGTAACCTCCACCTGCTCCCTGCTCTCACTGCAGACCATCTGACTCCTGCCTGATGCATTCATGTGATGGTTTATCATCTGTAGATAGAAACGAACTTCTGAATCTAAAAGAATTTAGACCGTTCTTGCTGTTTGGACCAGGAAATGACTGATGATGTCATCTCCTGACAGATTCTTTCTTTCTTTAGTGCATCAACCTTTCACCATCTTTTTGTCTTCTTTCTTTCCATCTTCAGTTTTCTTGTTCTTTATTTCTTTTCATTTTCTTCCTGCCCTCTTTTTTCTGACGGTTCTTCCAAAGAAGACGACCTCCCTTCCTCATCACATCCTCTCCTCTTCATCCTCTCCTCTCATTTCCCTGTGAGGAAGGAGAGAGGAGAAGAGGCAGTGAAGGAGAGGAGGTGAAGTGAATGAGGAGCTCTTCAGCGTCACCTTGTCATTGAGCAGAAGAAAAGCAGCAGCTGCATCTGTCAAAGAGACGAAGACGAGCTGTGGTGAAAACCTTCAGCTTCTCGCTGTCGGGTGACTTCTTATTGTGGGAGAGACGCCGGTGACGCTCAAACACCTGCAGGAAGCTGACTCATCCTCACCTGTGCGCTCCAAACGTCACTTTACATGATGCGGCGGCGTTTGCGTCGCTTCCCCTTTCAGTTTTTAATCAAACGCAGTTACAGCTGAAGGTCAGCCTCCTGAAAACAACGTTTTCTTTTGTGCATCTTTGTGAAGCTTCAGTGAATCAGATGTGAAGTCATCACAGGCTGTGCTGCAGACTCAAACGTGGACCATGTCTCCTCCAGGTCCTCTCCATGATGGACTCTGCGCCTGGTTTTAGATCTCACCATGGAAGAAAGAAAAAGGCCGATGGCTAAAGGAGGAACTGTGGAGATCGTCTGGAGTCACGCAGACACTCAGACGTTGTCGTGTCGATGGACAAAGAGACGCTCATGGATATTCAGAGTCTTGAAGTTGAGGCAGATATCGTCCCAGCAGCTGGCTGCTTACCTGAGCCAGGTGGAGCTCTTACCTGCAGCGTTTCACAAACACGGGCCTTCATTTTGTTTCGAGGTTAAAGTGACTCATCTGTATAAACGGCGTACAGTGAAAGACGTGTGGATGTGTGAACAAACTGAAGCTCAGCGAGGTTTTAATCAGGAGGAAGCAGCTGCTGCAGGGGTCAAAGGTCGCGTCTCTTAAATGTTAAACTCTGAAGTTTGTGTCATCTTTTCGCTGCAGACTGAACCCAGAGCACGCCGCGCCTACCCATCATGCACTGGGCCCCACACAAACCTCACAGTCTGACTCACCTCCAAACCTGGAGGCTGATGATAACGTCACCGCGGCAACACGCTGTGTTTCTCCACTTTATCAGCTGCTCTGTGATTGGTTAGCCCTGCTGATCGCAGTTTGACCTCTGATCTCCTGAATGCTGCTGACATCATCGTGCTCTGTGTGTGTGTCTGTGTGTGTGTGTGTGTGTGTGTGTGTCTGTGTGTGTGTGAGAGTGTGTGTGTGTGTGTGTGTGTGTGTGTGTGTGTGTGTGTGTGTGTGTGTGTGTGTGTGTGTGTGTGTGTGTCTGTGTGTGTGTGTGTGTGTGTGTGTGTGTGTGTCTGTGTGTGTGTGTGTGTGTGTGTGTGTGTCTGTGTGTGTGTGTGTGTGTGTGTGTGTGTGTGTGTCTGTGTGTGTGTGTGTGTGTGTGTGTGGCTTCTGATGATGATTTCACCTTAAAAAGACGACTAATCAGCTGCTGCATACATCACACACACACACACACACACACACACACACACACACACACACACACACACACACAGAGTTAAAAGGCAGTGTGCGCTGTGTTCCAGTGAAGCTTTCAGATGTAATTAACGCTCATTAAGGTTTATTGAAGCTGTTTAAATGCTGGCGTGTGATTGGCTGACGGGCTGATTGGCGGCTCAGGCTCTTTGTGCAGCTGCAGCTGCCGTTTCCTGTTTAATAAAGAAACGCTCATTTCTTAACAAGACGGAGAGGTGTACGACGTCACGGCAGCTTCCTGTCAGAGGCTGAACGCACCTGCACATCCACCTAAAGATGACTCGCTGCTGCTGAAGCAGATGATGGAGATGATGTCAGGTTGAGGCTGTCGCGTTTAGACAGGTTCAGGATGAATGTCACCTATATGTCTGTT